ACCCAACCAAATGTAATGTAATGAAGATAGGTGTAGGGAGCAGGAGGCCAGATACAAGGTATCATCTGGGAGAGGAAATTCTTCAGGAGTCAGAGAAGGAAAAAGACTTGGGGGTTGATATCACGCCAGACCTGTCTCCTGCAGCACATATCAAGCGGATAACATCAGCGGCATATGCCAGGCTGGCCAACATACGAACGGCATTCAGAAACTTGTGTAAAGAATCATTCAGAACTTTGTATACCACATATGTCAGGCCAATCCTGGAGTATGCAGCCCCAGCATGGAGTCCATATCTAGTCAAGGATAAGACTAAACTGGAAAAGGTTCAAAGGTTTGCCACCAGACTAGTACCCGAGCTGAGAGGTATGAGCTACGAGGAGAGACTACGGGAATTAAACCTCACTTCGCTGGAAGACAGAAGAGTTAGGGGGGACATGATCACCACATTCAAGATTCTGAAGGGGATTGATAGGGTAGATAAAGACAGTCTATTTAACACAAGGGGAACACGCACAAGGGGACACAGGTGGAAACTGAGTGCCCAAATGAGCCACAGAGATATTAGAAAGAACTTTTTTAGTGTCAGAGTGGTTGACAAATGGAATGCATTAGGGGGTGATGTGGTGGAGGCTGACTCCATACACAGTTTCAAGTGTAGATATGACAGAGCCCGATAGGCTCATGAATCTGTACACCTGTTGATTGACGGTTGAGAGGCGGGACCAAAGAGCCAGAGCTCAACCCCCGCAAACACAACTAGGTGAGAACTAGGTGAGTACACGATATCTGAGCCCTCCGAGTGCCTCCACGAGCCCTCCAAGTATGCACAGTGATGGAGTAGTCTACGCTAGCACAGAGTACTGTATGATAGTGATGTGGTAGTCCTAGTATACACACCGATAGGATAGTCTACACTGGTAGAATGACTTCAGCCTTTAGCGGTTTTCATAAATGATGTGAATAACATAGTGTGTATCTTGAATGTTATGAATAACATAGTGTGTATCTTGAATGTTATGAATAACAGTGTGTGTCTTGAATGTTATGAATAACAGGGTGTGTCTTGAATGTTATGAATAACATAGTGTGTGTCTTGAATGAGGATATATTGAATTTCTCTCTGGCCAGAGTCCCAAGTTTCGTGGCACTAAATGATCCTCCCCCCCCCCCCCCCCCCCCCCCCCCCCCCCCCCCCGAACCCCCCAATCAATCTTATCTTGAGGTTATCTTGAGATGATTTCGGGGCTTAGCGTCCCCGCGGCCCGGTCCTCGACCAGGCCTCCTCCTCCTTGTTACACACACCCCTAGGAAGCAGCCCGTAGCAGCTGTCTAACTCCCAGGTACCTATTTACTGCTAGGTGAACAGGAGCATCAGATTGAAAGAAACTGCTCATTTTTGTTTCCGCCTCCACCGGTGATCGAACCCGGAACCTCAGGACTACGAATCCGAAGCGCTGTCCACTCAGCTCTCATCAAAGGCAATTGTTTAATATGGAGCCTAAATTATGAGGCATTTACGTGAATTTGTCACTTTGGAATATCAGAGAATGAAAAACTTTTTCTTTTACAGCAATATTTTGAGGCCTTTTTTTTAATGAGTTTTATTGTTAATTACTCGAGAGACCTCACAAAGTGCCTGTTATTTAAGCTCGTTTTTCTGAATTGTAGAAGTTAGTGATGCTGCCGATTGATTGATTGATCAAGATTAAGCCACCCAAAAGGTGGCACGGGCATGAATAGCCCGTAAGTGGTGGCCCTTTGGAGCCATTACCAGCATCAAGAGCTGATACTGGAGATCTGTGGAGGTGCGACTGCACTGATGCTGCCATTATTAGCGGGATGCCGAGCCCGGCGTCCGAGAATGCTGCGAACGATTTGTTAAATTGTAATTGGAGATGCTTCATCGGCGGAGGTGATGTGTGATGGTGGTGAATTATAGCCTTGTCTTGCTGGTGTGACTGGAGGTGTCGGCGGGAGGACACACCACACATTATCTCTACCATTTCCGCACCTGCTTCATCATTTATTACCCTCCCTCATTAATCTGGCCATCACACAGGTGACCTCACCCCTGGGGTTGGTGCTTGTGTCTCCCCCTCAACCCCCGCTCCCACCACCACTGTATCCACCTCCACCACCACTGTATCCACCTCCACCACCACTGTATCCACCTCCACCACCACTGTATCCACCTCCACCACCACTGTATCCACCTCCACCACCGCTGTATCCACCTCCACCACCACTATATCCACCTCCACCTCCGTGCTCACAGTTCATATGGCCGTAGATACGCTCATCTCAAGTGTTACATCTTCGGAGCTCCGACAATCTTGGGATATAATGTGAGAATTTTGTCCACGAACTGCATATGAAAGTGTTTGGGTGTTGTGGAGAGAGATGTTGGATGAGCAGCCCTCTTAATTGATAAAGATTAAGCCACCCAAGAGGTGACACGGGCATGAATAGCCCGTGAACCGTTTACTTGATTTACCGCAGCGTACATAACCCGCCATCTCCACCTGACCAGAAACGCTCTACCAGAAACCTACTGTTGAAGAGAAAATGTGGATTTTTGCAAGCCGATAGCATCGCATAGCACGTTGCATTTGATACGTTGGTAACCATTAGGTGGTATTAGTTGAGGGGGGAAGGTGCCGTAGAGAGGAGGAGGGGCCGGGTGTCCATCCATCAGTGTGAGAGGCGGGTGAGGCTGCGGCAGACTTCCTTATCATGGCCACAACAATATATCTTGCAGCCACAGGGCCGACCCCGGGGGTGGCGGCCACCCTCACTAGCATCACCGCCCGTCACTCTGTCATGGTAACACAACCTTACTACAACCACCACCACCACCCTCACGCCGCCACCCACCATGACACCACCACCCCCTCCCCCCCCCCCCTCTACACACGCCCACCCACCCACCCACCCACCACACACACACACACACACACACACACACACACACACACACTCACACACACACACGCACGCACACACACCCACACACACACACACACACACACACACACACACACACACACACACACACACACACACACACACACCTGGCGTCCCTGGCAGACACGACCGGAGCTGAAGCATAAAGAGAGGTCCTCGGCGATAATAGCAATCATTACTATGTAATAATCTACAAATTAGTCAATTTAAATTTAAAAGAATAAATATAATGTAAAACATAAAAATTGCGATATATTTAGTCAGGTGCGTGTGTGTGTGTATTTACTATTTGTGTTTACTATTTGTGTCTGCAGAATCGAGCTATTAGCTCTTGGACCCCGCCTTTCTAACATAACTATTTTTCCTCTATTTTGTCTACTACATATATGTCTAACACACACACACATCCCCTGAAAGTAGCCCGTAGCAGCTGTTTAACTCCCAGTGCCTATTTAGTGCTAGGGGAACAGGTACATCAGGGTGAAAGAAACTACCCATTTGTTTCCACTTCGGCCGGGAATCGAACCCAGGGCCATAGAACTACGACCCCAAAGCGCTGTCGATTCAACCGCGAGGCCCCTTGTGTGTGTACTCACCTAGTTGTACTTGCGGGAGTTGAGCTTTGGCTCTGAAGGCCCGTCTCTCAACTATCAATCAACTGGTGTACAGATTCCTGAGCCTACTGGACTCTATCATATATACATGTGAAACTGTATTTCAGTTTGGAGGCTGACATGGAGTCAGCCTCCACCACATCACTGTCTAATGCATTCCATTTGTTAAGTACAGTAGTTCACGTTGTGATGATTTAGTGTTTATGAGGGGTTTAAATAATTGTTTTAGACTGTTACAGTACGTTACTGTACGGTCAATGTACAGTAATGTCCGCGGTTGTTCAACATCCTCCCAGCGAGTATAAGAAATGTCGCCGGAACAACCGTGGACATCTTCAAGAGAAAACTAGGTTGTTTTCTAAAAGAAATGCCGGACCAACCGGGCTGTGGTGGATATGTGTGGGCCTGCGGGCCGCTCCAAGCAACAGCCTAGTGGATCAGGCTCTCACAAGTCACCGAGTACTGTGAGAGGCGTCAACGAACGGCTCTCAAGAAGGGGAGTAGAAGAACTCCCAGAGTAGAGAGTAGAAGAGGGAGAGGAGTAGAAGAACTCCCAGAGTAGAGAGTAGAAGAGGGAGAGGAGTAGAAGAACTCCCAGAGTAGAGAGTAGAAGAGGGAGATGAGTAGAACTCCCAGAGTAGAGAGTAGAAAAGGGAGAGGAGTAGAAGAACTCCCAGAGTAGAGAGTAGAAGAGGGAGAGGAGTAGAAGAACTCCCAGAGTAGAGAGTAGAAGAGGGAGAGGAGTAGAAGAACTCCCAGAGTAGAGAGTAGAAGAGGGAGAGGAGTAGAAGAACTCCCAGAGTAGAGAGTAGAAGAGGGAGAGGAGTAGAAGAACTCCCAGAGTAGAGAGTAGAAGAGGGAGAGGAGTAGAAGAACTCCCAGAGTAGAGAGTAGAAAAGGGAGAGGAGTAGAAGAACTCCCAGAACCACATCCAGATACAATTCAGATTATTATATTTGTGGCATTTATGTTCAAGGGAAAGTGCGAAGTTTTGGGGCAATGTTCACCAATGTTCACCAATGTTCTTCAGTGTAGGCTGATGAGTAGGGAGCTGGCGCTACTTGGGTGCATTTGTGATCTACGGAACCTTATCAAATCCCTCGATCACAAAGACCATTAGGGAGCATGTAACTGTTGAGGGGAAATGTTCTTGGTCACGGAGGCTACGACTTGGGGCTTTGTGGTGTGGGTAATAATTTAACTGATTTTGGAAGATACCTTCACAGCTCCGCGGCGGAAGTTAGTTCCACACGGTGGTGGTGGCGACTTGTCTGATGGGAGGAATTAGGCCATTGTATGGTGTGTTTGGATCACGGACGACTCCTGCGAGGCTCATCTGCAACCTGTTTGGGTCCACATTCAAAGCACAACCCCCCCGTTTCTTCCCCGGCAGCCGTGTGTGTACATACAGGGTCCGTGTTATCTCTCAGTCACGCCTTCCTTACTGTCCGTACCCTCACGCACATCTCCTGTAACACTGCCTCCTGTAACACTGCCTCCTGTAACACTGCCTCCTGTAACACTGTCTCCTGTAACATTGCCTCTTGTAACATTGCCTCCTGTAACACTGCCTCCTGTAACACTGTCTCCGGTAACATTGCCTTCTGTAACACTGCCTCCTGTAACACTGTCTCCTGTAACATTGCCTCCTGTAACACTGCCTCCTGTAACACTGTCTCCTGTAACATTGCCTCCTGTAACACTGCCTCCTGTAACACTGTCTCCTGTAACATTGCCTCCTGTAACACTGCCTCCTGTAACACTGTCTCCTGTAACATTGCCTCCTGTAACACTGCCTCCTGTAACACTGTCTCCTGTAACATTGCCTCCTGTAACATTGCCTCCTGTAACACTGCCTCCTGTAACACTGTCTCCTGTAACATTGCCTCCTGTAACATTGCCTCCTGTAACACTGCCTCCTGTAACACTGCCTCCTGTAACACTGTCTCCTGTAACATTGCCTCCTGTAACATTGCCTCCTGTAACATTGCCTCCTGTAACACTGCCTCCTGTAACACTGTCTCCTGTAACATTGCCTCCTGTAACATTGCCTCCTGTAACACTGCCTCCTGTAACACTGTCTCCTGTAACATTGCCTCCTGTAACACTGCCTCCTGTAACACTGCCTCCTGTAACACTGTCTCCTGTAACATTGCCTCCTGTAACATTGCCTCCTGTAACATTGCCTCCTGTAACATTGCCTCCTGTAACACTGCCTCCTGTAACACTGTCTCCTGTAACATTGCCTCCTGTAACACTGCCTCCTGTAACACTGTCTCCTGTAACATTGCCTCCTGTAACACTGCCTCCTGTAACACTGTCTCCTGTAACATTGCCTCCTGTAACATTGCCTCCTGTAACACTGCCTCCTGTAACACTGTCTCCTGTAACATTGCCTCCTGTAACATTGCCTCCTGTAACACTGTCTCCTGTAACATTGCCTCCTGTAACATTGCCTCCTGTAACACTGTCTCCTGTAACACTGTCTCCTGTAACATTGCCTCCTGTAACATTGCCTCCTGTAACACTGTCTCCTGTAACATTGCCTCCTGTAACACTGCCTCCTGTAACACTGCCTCCTGTAACACTGTCTCCTGTAACACTGTCTCCTGTAACACTGTCTCCTGTAACATTGCCTCCTGTAACATTGCCTCCTGTAACACTGCCTCCTGTAACACCACCCTGGCTGTTAACATCCCGGCAACAGGAGGCGCTGATACACGTACCCAATAACCTCTACCTCGAACCTTGCTGCCAATAACCCTCTCTTTCCCCTCCATACTCCTCCCCACAGCCCGTCCTCCCAAGGGTTCCCAATGTCAAGAAACTGTCACACTAAAGTGCCCTTACCCTAACCTACCAGAGGACCCGAAACAAAAAACGGGACAGTATGTCAATTTCACGAGGCGCTACCATTTTCTAGTACGATCATTTTTGGCCTTAGGTAGAGCATACGTCAAAATGCGACGTTTTAGGAGGACGGGTTGCTCCTCAAACCCCTGTCCATCCTATTCCCCTGTCTATCCCTACCCGTCTGCCTCTGCTGCAGTTTTTAACCCTGGGAGATTATCTCTTCCTGGTGTTACTAACCCGCTCCCCGCCACTTATGACGTATTATCCAGTGATTCACATCCGTATTAGCACCTTGTAAAATTTTCTATTCAAATTACATACGTTTAAGCGTGGAAGATAATGGGGGGGGGCAGAGGGTAGGTGAAGGATGTGATGCAGCGGAGAGGTGCCGAGTGATGACATGATTGAACCTTTTGACATGTTGTACAGCATATTATTGACGTGTAGTGCTGAGAGTGTAGAGGGGAGGTGGCCTGCAGGGCGCCCGACGCTGTCGTGGTGGCCTGCAGGGCGTGTCCCGGCCTCGTCGTGGTGGCCTGCAGGGCGTGTCCCGGCCTCGTCGTGGTGACCTGCAGGGCGTGTCCCGGCCTCGTCGTGGTGACCTGCAGGGCGTGTCCCGGCCTCGTCGTGGTGACCTGCAGGGCGTGTCCCGGCCTCGTCGTGGTGACCTGCAGGGCGTGTCCCGGCCTCGTCGTGGTGACCTGCAGGGCGTGTCCCGGCCTCGTCGTGGTGACCTGCAGGGCGTGTCCCGGCCTCGTCGTGGTGACCTGCAGGGCGTGTCCCGGCCTCGTCGTGGTGACCTGCAGGGCGTGTCCCGGCCTCGTCGTGGTGACCTGCAGGGCGTGTCCCGGCCTCGTCGTGGTGACCTGCAGGGCGTGTCCCGGCACCTCTTGAAAGGTGGTGTGGTAGCAGCGACATGTCCACCGCAGCCTCCTGACACCAGAGCACTTATAGTAACCATGTGCTCGATGGGACAAATGTGGTGGTGATGGACCAATACAAAGTATACTTTTGTATTAATGAATTTAGATAAGTCGGAAGTTCTTTACGTATGTTGCAAGTGAAACCTAACCTAACCATTTTAGGCCTAATACACGCTACCTGAGGCCTAATACACGCTACCTGAGGCCTAATACACGCTACCTGAGGCCTAATACACGCTACCTGAGGCCTAATACACGCTACCTGAGGCCTAATACACGCTACCTGAGGCCTAATACACGCTACCTGAGGCCTAATACACGCTACCTGAGGCCTAATACACGCTACCTGAGGCCTAATACACGCTACCTGAGGCCTAATACACGCTACCTGAGGCCTAATACACGCTACCTGAGGCCTAATACACGCTACCTGAGGCCTAATACACGCTACCTGAGGCCTAATACACGCTACCTGAGGCCTAATACACGCTACCTGAGGCCTAATACACGCTACCTGAGGCCTAATACACGCTACCTGAGGCCTAATACACGCTATCTGAGGCCTAATACACGCTATCTGAGGCCTAATACACGCTACCTGAGGCCTAATACACGCTATCTGAGGCCTAATACACGCTATCTGAGGCCTAATACACGCTACCTGAGGCCTAATACACGCTATCTGAGGCCTAATACACGCTACCTGAGGCCTAATACACGCTATCTGAGGCCTAGTATTGTACAGGTATGTGCTATATTAGGCCTAGGAATATTTGTTTGGGTTTTAGCTTAATTTTTTTCCGGGTTCTAGATTATAAATTGGACCAAATTCTGTTAACGACGTCGATATTTGTACGATGTTCGATGGGGTTACAGAAAGTATTATCTTATCAGGATTGGATATTTCTTATATCCATCGGCAGGAGATTGAAGTGGTAAAGATGAGGTTTTATCGTTTATTATATATTGTATATTTGTTATGTACTTCCTGCTGTATATCTCACTCGGAAGTGTCGTCATTTCCTTGTGCAGGTTTGTGACCTGACCTCCGGTGCTCAGTTCATGTCTTGAGAGTATCTCTCGTCTCCGTTCTCAAGAAGTACAATTTGAGTGGATTCGAACGGTACTAATAGCTTTAAGGTCTTCATCCTTCTGCGCGGGAAGTGTACAGGATCTTTGTATATGTTGATTAATTGATGAAGATTAAGCCACCCAAAAGGTGGCACGGGCATGAATAGCCCGTAAGCGGTGGCCCTTTGGAGTCATCACCAGTATCAAGAGCTGATACTGGAGATCTGTGGAGGTGCAACTGCACCCTACGTGACGGGAGATGTCTCCCATGTTGTACATGTTCTCGCTCTACAGTCTATCTAGCCTGTCTTGACAGTGATTAAATAGAGGGGATGTGAGGCCAGAACATCATTCTCCTCGAGTCGGACCTGTGTGTTGATACTGCCATCGTCGCTGTGGTAGTTCTTGTTTACCAATGTTCCCATCATTCACCCTAGCATTTTTCTGGCTGTTGCTGTGTTTATTTTTGTGAGCTCTGAACGTCAGGTCTTCTGATATTTTTTATTCCAAGGTGTAACTTGGTCTTATCTTTCTCTGAGGAGATCGGCCCGAGCCGCGTATCCTGTACTACTTTAAAAAAACTTCTTTTTTTCGTACTGAATGTGTGTTGGAATTTAGCGCTTATGTTGTTATTGTAAACCTTATTAATATATGATCGCAGTTTTCTATGCATTGCATTGTTGCAATTTTCATTCTTATTTTGACTGCATCAGCGAAGGGTGACAGGAAGCCGACGGTTGTATTCCCGGGTGTCTTCTGTGGTGATGAGGACGAGTAGTGGTCCGCTGACCAGACCTTGGGGACCGCAGCGCTGACCAGACCTTGAGGGCCGCAGCCGCTGACCAGACCTTGGGGACCGCAGCCGCTGACCAGACCTTGGGGACCGCAGCCGCTGTCCAGACCTTGAGCGCCGCAGCCGCTGACCAGACCTTGAGGACCGCAGCCGCTGACCAGACCTTGAGGGCCGCTGACCAAACCTTGAGGACCGCAGCCGCTGACAACACCTTGAGCGCCGCAGCCGCTGACCAGACCTTGAGCGCCTGTACTCCATGTGTGGTAGAGTTCTTCCCGCGCTAGGATGCCCTTGAGCGGCGATCCTGGGGCGGGGAAGCAGATGGTAGTCTCCACCTTGTCCTTCCATTGTCAAATTACCGGAAGTGTGACCTGCGGGGAGCACCCGCACTAATAACACGCTCTTTCATACTTCAATTTCCGTGACCAAATAATCGATTTCCCGCACGAGGAGTTACAGTGGAGGGGGCAAGGGAGATCTTTTATACGTAACGCGGAAGGCGGCCTTATTGACTCCGTGCTATATGAGGCGTGTTCCTTGATGCTCCCTGGCTGGTGGGTGTTCCTTGATGCTCCCTGGCTGGTAGGGGGGGGGGGTTCCCTGATGTTCCCTGGCTGGTGGTGGATGTTCCCTGGCTGGTGGTGGGTGTTCCTTGATGCTCCCTGGCTGGTGGGTGTTCCTTGATGCTCCCTGGCTGGTAGGGGGGGGGGGTTCCCTGATGTTCCCTGGCTGGTGGTGGGTGTTCCTTGTGGCTCAATGGGTGGTGGTGGGTGTTCCCTGATGTTTCCTGGCTGGTGGTGGGTGTTCCTTGATGCTCCCTGGCTGGTGTTGGGTGTTCCCTGATGTTCCCTGGCTGGTGTTGGGTGTTCCCTGATGTTCCCTGGCTGGTGGTGGGTGTTCCCTGATGTTCCCTGGCTGGTGGTGGGTGTTCCTTGATTCTCCCTGGCTGGTGGTGGGTGTTACTTGATGCTCCCTGGCTGGTGGTGGGTGTTCCTTGATGCTCCCTGGCTGGTGGTGGGTGTTCCTTGATGCTCCCTGGCTGGTGGTGGGTGTTCCTTGATGCTCCCTGGCTGGTGGTGGGTGTTCCTTGATGCTCCCTGGCTGGTGGTGGGTGTTCCTTGATGCTCCCTGGCTGGTGGTGGGTGTTACTTGATGCTCCCTGGCTGGTGGTGGGTGTTCCTTGATGCTCCCTGGCTGGTGGTGGGTGTTCCTTGATGCTCCCTGGCTGGTGGTGGGTGTTCCTTGATGCTCCCTGGCTGGTGGTGGGTGTTCCTTGATGCTCCCTGGCTGGTGGTGTGGTGTACGCCGGAGCTTCACCCCCTAGCGGCCCAGGTTCGAATCTCTGAGGCATCATTAGAAAGTTGTTAACAAAACTGATGCCTGGGGGACCACTATTCACGTTACGTAACTGTAACTTTACACGATAAAGAATGTGATAACAAAGGGGGTGGAAGGAGAAGCAAATACTCATCCATACGCATTTAGAGTCAGTCGACATTGTTTTCTGAATGCTCTTTATTCCCTTCTCCGAGGCTATGGGTCCATACACTTACACCAGAAGCCATACTCCTAAAACAATATATATATGTAATATATATATATATATATATATATATATATATATATATATATATATATATATATATGTAATATATATATATATATATATATATATATATATATATATATATGTAATATATATATATATATATATATATATATATATATATATATATATGTAATATATATATATATATATATATATATATATATGTAATATATATATATATATATATATATATGTAATATATATATATGTAATATATATATATATATATATATATATATATATATATATATATATATATATATATATAATATGTGTGGTTGTGTGTGTATCCACCTAGTTGTGCTTGCGAGGGTTGAGCTTTGGCTCTCTGGCCCCTCCTCATGTGTATATGTGTGTGTGTGTGTGTGTACACTGTTGGTAGTGTTCACACTGAACGAATAACGTGAACAGATGTACATGAGGTACACCAGAGGGTGAGACACATGAGGTACACCAGAGAGGTGGGGGGGGGGGAGTGTAGACACTACCAGCTAAGGATCCGGTACAGAGGCTCCGATACAGGAGTAGATGGTCGCTGATTCACTTTAACCGGATGGCGCTGTAGCCGGGTGCACGGTGACGTCACCATCACGAAGTACATTATAGTGACGCTGACGTCACCATCACCGAGTGCATTAGGCCTAGGGAGATACAGCTATAAGATTGTGGCGGGCAATGTCAGCCTCTCTTGACCGCCTGACAACCGTCAAATAGGTGGTGGTTGTGCCTGACCTGGAGCTGACCAACCTGAGCATCCCACCTGTTGTCAGTAGAGCAGGTGACCTCTACTGAAGTCACTAGTACAGGTCACCCACTACACTACCTGCCAGTGTAGTGGGTAGAAGGGTGTAAAGGGTGTATGGTGAGTGTATGGTTAGGTATGGTAAGTGTATGATGAGGGTATGGTGAGGGCATGGTGAGTGTATGGTGAGTGGTGAGAGCATAGTGAGTGTATGGTGAGAGCATGGTGATTGTATGGTGAGTACATGGTGAGTGTATGGTGAGTATGCTGAGTGCATGATGAGTGTATGGAGAGTGCATGGTGATTGTATGGTGAGTGTATGGAGAGTGTATGCTGAGTGCATGGAGAGTGCATGGTGAGTTTATGGTGAGTGCATGGTGATTGTATGGTGAGTACATGGTGAGTGTATAGTGATTGTATGGTGAGTACATGGTGAGTGTATAGTGATTGTATGGTGAGTACATGGTGAGTGTATGGAGAGTGTATGGTGAGTGGTGAGTGCATGAGACGAGGCGGCGAAACCTAACAATATCAAGGACGCTAAACAATAATTCTAAAAGTCTTTCTGATAACAAGAAATATTTTACGATAAAACTGACCAACTGAAATCATCGTGAAGACTATTGACTGACAGTGAATAAATGCGTAAATTACGCTCTAAATAATGACTACCATAAACAAGTAAAGAACAGAATAAAATAAATATTAATAAATTATTATTAATTTATTATTATTTAATAATAATATTAATAAAATTAATTTATTAATACGTATTAATAA